AGCATTAATACAAACAAAACTTTCTCGTAATTTAATAAATTTATTACTACTAAGGTAATGTACAACATCCTATAGTACTATGTGTAAAATCTAATTCAAACTGTTCCACCCTCATATTTTTTCCTCAAATGTCTAGGAACATTATCACATTATGATTCATATAAATGAATTACGAATGTATACTGTTGCATCAATTAATAACAATTTGCCCTAGACATTTGAAAAGTACATCAGTGACAATTTAAATTTAATCAAATAAGCATAAATCCGTCAAGAAATTATTCTAATACAAATAATGTCTAAATGCTACCAAAAGTGTCTTCTCCGGTAATTTTTCCATGTTACTATCATTTGGATAGATTGTAGAGCGCTGCTCAAACAATTGCAATAAATTTGCAAATCCAGCTGTTAGCATTTTTGCCATACGTAACGCATCTAACCACAGAACTTGCATTGTTTCCTTCCTAGCAGCAGATTCTTCAGAATGCAATACCTATAAAAAAAAAAATTAATTAAACGGATAATTTTCAGGAAATAAAAATTGAAAATTCAGCGTGATCCATATTCATGCTTCAGGAGAATATTTCATTTGAAATTTAATATTCCCAAAATAGGTATAATTTGTTCTCTAAAATTAATTCTCTGAATAAAATAAAATAGAAAATACCAAATTTTGACTTCCCATAGCGCTAATTTCCATCACTGATTTGTTCTCGGGAGCTTTCTGGATTTTAGATTGTTTTTCCACATCACAATTCCTAAACAAAAAAGAAAAAAAAACTAAAAGATATCGTAAAATTTTATGCCATATGTAATTAATAATATGTGATATGAAAAATAAACAATAAAGTTCTCCAAAAAATAATCAAATAAATTATACTTCTAAAACAATATATTGGAAGATAAAGAATGTTTCGTCAACGAATTTTATTCTTCTAGATGGTTGATCTTAGTCACGAAGTGACATACTAGTTCCAACTTTCCAAATAATGATAAATTAAATAATTAAGATAAAGCAAGTTTTAAAGATAATTAAGTCCCACTAACAATGTTTGATCAGTTGCTATATTCTCCTTTATTTTTTTAAGTTCTTCTTTCAGCTTTCCGTTTTCGATTTCAAGAGTTCTATATTGTTCATTAAGAGCTGATGTTGTTTCTGTATATTCGTTTTCCAGTTCGGAAATCTAAAATATTCAAATTTCAATCATAAGAAATTTTAGGTTATAAGAATGAAAAAAGAACACGAAAAAATTTTTGGTCATTACGCTGTTTACCACTAGCAAACAATTGTTGTCATTTATAACAACCTACTTAATTTGAACAACGACAACAACAAACATCAACATTCTTTATGAATTTCATTTTTACTTCGAAAATAATAATTAACTGCATCAAAAGTAATAATACCTTCTTGTGTAGTGTTTCATTTTCTATCACTTTCTTTTGTAGTTCCATTTGGAGAACTCCATTATCCAATTCAGTTGAACGTTCTGCACGTGTATTCTTTTGAAACAGCAACCCTCGCTTCTAGAAAAAGAAACAATTCAGAAAGAGAAGAAAAAATATGAGATAACAATTTTTTAAAGAAAAATTCTGACTAAAAATATCAACCTTAACAGATGTCTGCTTAATATTATCAATTTCATTCTGCAATGACTCAACCCGTTTCACTAACTGGTTATTCCGAAATTCAAATCCTTCTTTTTCATTTTCGAGTTTTCGCAATGTCGATTCACTATTATGCAAATCAATCTAAAAAAAACCAGAAAAAATCGAGAAAAAAGATTAATTTTGTAACAAAATTTTTGGTTCATAAATTGCTAAGATACGAATAAGCATTTAAAAAGAAGAAGCAAAGGATAGGCATTGCAAATAATGTAAAATATGTACAATTAGTTTGAAATGTTATATTCTTATTATTATACTAAGTGCCTATATAACAAATGCACATAATTTTTATCCTTTGAATAATCGAATTCAGACTAAAACATAGTACAATTCTGTTTCTGCTTATATTTCGTTATCAAAAAAAAAAAAAAAAAAAAAAAAAACCATACGACAGCAGAAACTGCTTTTAAATCAAATTAAATAATCGCTGGAGATAATAAATGGAAAAACATTTCTGGAGACAAGAATTACATGAATGCTTACAGAAAAAAAAAGACATTTGCAAAAAATATAGATAACATCGTAATAGGCTAAATTAATCAAATAAATAAGTAAAATGAACAATTTGCTATTTTCTTTTTGTTTGCTTTAATTTAGTTCGTAAGCCACTCACCGATAATTTTTCATTTTTTGCTTGCTCCGCAATAACCGCATTTTTCAACGTAGATATTTGAACTTTTAACTGCAAAAAAAGTAATGTATATTAAAATCTTTAATTTTAATATACCTCTCTGCTGGTTAGTAATTAGCCATGAAAATTGTCTCAAATGTTTTATTAATTCAAACAAAGAAAAAAACAAAAAAAAAAACAATGGAAATAAAATTACACAGTTTAAGCATGTTAAGTCAGCTATAAATTCATAAGCTATCACAAAAAACGAAAAACTCTAGCAAATCCTAATTACAAATTTTTAAGAGCAGAAAAATTAGCTATGAAATATAAATTTGTCGATCACCCTGAGCAACCGGAACTCTCAACATTACATTCAAGCATGCATATCAAACATAAGCATGAGAATTTGTCATTTTCCATCAAAACAATTCAAATCTAATGCCTAAATCTTAGCAGAAAACGGAAGTACTTTTCCAGTAATACTTTTTCCTAGAATTTTTACATGTTTTTTCAATGAAAAAAAAAAAAAGAACTAACAAAACCTTAGCATATTCAGCAGCAACTCGTTGATATTTGGTATTGATATCAGCATTCGAAGAGATTGTTGACATCTACACCCAACATCAACTCTTCCTACCGCAATTGACTTCACTTTCAATCTGTCAATCAGTTGTCCGGAAAATTCAAGGACAAATACACATAATGGATATGTAGAACAACGTATTGCAATATAGGTATTTGAACAAAAATAAAAACTGAAATTTCAACTGTAATTTGAAATAGTACATCTTTTTAGCTTGTTAATCATATCCAAAAATTTATTCTACAAGTTATTGATATATTGATGAAATATTATCGCCTAAAACACTATATGTTACATTATCTTAAAAACATTTTAGCACTAGCTAATCCTCTTAAAATGCTAATTATTGAAAATTTTTTTGCTTTTTTATTTAAGAATTGTGAAAGATATTTATCTTTACGAAATATAGTGGCTCATCTACAACAATAACTAAATTCCTTATCTTCACTTAACAGCTTTCATTTTTTTTATTTATCTTACATTTGAATCAAACGAAAGAGTAACTGCAATAATTATCTGAAATATATGAAAGGAAAAAGGAAATGAAATGAAATCGGCAAAAGAACAGTATAAGTATTACGAGTATTTCAATTGAATAGTTACATAGATTAAATATTTAAACAAAAAGAAACAAAGTTTATTTTCCTTCAGAGGAACTATAAACAAAAAAGTGATGATGATCTCAGGAATTGTAAATGAAAGCAATGTAAAATATGGATTAAAATAATATGCAAAGATAGTTATTATACAATCGACTTGAATAATAACTTAAATTTTTATAATTTTTTTCTCCATAATACTTCTTTTTTTTTCAAAGCAACAAGTCCAATTAATTGTTTTCAATAAGATAGAACATTAAGAATCAATTCAATAATTAAATATCAGTGCAAAATTTCAATTACTTACAACGATAAAACCATACGTATTTGAATACGTCCAACAATCACAAATTCATCAACCGTTCCCTAAATTGACCGGATGAAAAAGATGCACAATGAGAGAAAGACAGAAAAAGAGAACTAAAAGAAAAAAGAAACCAATAAATGTCAGATTATTTGACAAGAAATTATAAAATCACATAGTGGTAATTAAAAAAGTAATATTTCATAATTTAATTTGCAATAGAATTAAAAAGTTACAAAATGCTATTAGTAACTCATAATTCTAAATTTTGTCATTTATAGGTTGCAAAAATTAACACCAATAAGAAGAATGAAAAGAAAGAAAGCAGCACTAACTAGATTTAAAAATGAAGAAAAACCTTCATCATTCATCATATCACAAATAAATTGAACAAAATGGAAAAGCAATTTTGTCTTCGAATGGGAAAGCAATTTTCTTCTTTTTCACAATTAGTTTCAAATTCAAATTAATAATTCAAATGGATATTGCATGTAAAATAACAAAAAGGCGAAGATGCATTAAGATAGAGTTCCTTTCTTGGTGCAACAATAATTAACAGAAATATGTAATTACGAATACGATAAAAAGTGGAAAAAATCATAATGCCAAAAGCACAAAAACAAAAAAAAAATATATATATATATATACAAAGAAGCCATTATTAATGATGTTTAGATATGGAATGTCAACAAATAATGAATGTTAATAAACAAATTTTTAGCTAATTTATTAAATTTCGTCGTCTTTTTTTCTCTCTGCAATAGAAAATGAGAATTTAATAACAAAAAAAAAAAAAAAAAAAAAACATATAATTCTCAGGAAATCAATAACATAACTACATCCATTATATTGCTTATTTTATCTGCTACTTTTAAAAAATCCTCCACTTAACAAATTCTGTTTAATTTATTCAAATATTTTCTGACCATTCATTTAAAGAACTATCCACTGATAGTTTGCAATTGCATATATCTTCAATTCAAATAGATCCATCTTAACGGTAAACTATCAACAATTCAGCAACTATTTCAGCTAAAAATGATCTTACTAGAAATGAATAATAATAATAATTGATAAATAAAACGCATAAATTTGAATCAAAATAATAAATAAGCATAGAATCTGATTAACAAATGTTTTCGGATGGAATAAACTTCTGAATTAAATTAAATGGAAGAGAAATTACATTTGAAAGCATCGGAATACTACAGTGTAATGGAGTAATAACATTCATCATTCATTACATGTGCTATCATCCGTTGCTGTTACATTGTAATCAGAACAAAAACTGGAACAAATCCAGTTACCATTTGGTGGAGTCGATAAACCAACACAAAATGTATGATAACCACGATCACAACGATCACAAAACATCATTGCATCCTGCAAATACTCATTTAATTGATTATTTCACAAATATACACACACATATACAATTGCCTCTGTATATATTAAAAAAAAAACTTAGAAATAAATTTCAAAAATTATTTCTCTGAAAGTTTAAAAAAAAAAAAAAAACTCATATAAGATAAGTGAGAAAATTACGTATGTCTCGAGCTATTACAAATCGCTAAATTATAATTCAACCTGGAAGAAGGTACACAATGAATCGACGACTTAAACTAATTAATGAATCCCAGGAATTCCACTAAACAAAACAAAACAAGTCAACAAATCTTGCTTCATTTGATAAATCAAGAAAGAAAGAAATAAACACTGAAATCGAGAATAATATGAAAAGGCTCTTGATACATTTAAAATATCGAACAAACCGAACATTTCACATTAACCCTAAACTGTAGACAAAAATGTAAGTTCAAAATACTTCTCAATATATATACATATTAATAATTAAAATAATTACAATCAGAATATTTCCCCTTCTTATCCTTGCTTTCTTCCATTTTTTTATTTATTCAGTCACTTCGGAAATTTGCTAATCCCAATAAAATACTGGCCAATTACAATAAGCGTATTTCACCTCATTATCCGGCTTTTCACATATAGTACATTTCTTGCATTCAATGCAGTTCCATCTGTAATTCAGTGCAACTTTAACGACGTGTTCTGGTAAACCAGCACAATCCGGATGTACTACATTATTGCAATTAGAACAGGATAATATTTGACGTTCCTCGTTTTCACCGCATATCGAACACTGCTGTTTAGTTAAATCCTATAATTAGAATAGAATGATGGTTTTTTTTTTTCTTTTTTGCAATTTTATCAGATATTTGTGTCAGCTTCTATCACTTTCTTTCTCAGATTAATATCTTAAATTAAATCCACAATATTGTTAGTCATTGACAAATCATGTTTTCTTGAAGACACTCTCTTCTCTTATTTTCTGGTAATATATAAATTTTTGAGTAAAATAAGAAGTTTCTGCGATGAAATGATCAACTGTATCAATTTAGAGAAAATAATTAAAAGACATTACCAATTCCGACAACAATATAAGACAGGAAAAATTGATAAAGAGGAAAAACGACAAATGAATTTTTTTTGAAATCGTTGCCTTCAGCGAAAAAATCTTGTTCCTCTGACATTTTTCATCATAAACCTCTTTTCTCCACATAAAAATGAAGTTATTCCCACCATTTATTCAATAATAGGAAAATTTTTCCTTGCTTTCTTCTTATCTTTCTTCTCAGAAGAAACTAAATTCTATGACTTACTGAAATCAATGATTTTTTTTAGAGAAAAATGACAAGAAGAAAAAATTGATGGAACATGAGAATGACGAGAAACTAGTCTAACTACTATAATCAAAGATCAATTGCGTAGCTTTTCGTCCTCTTTGAATAAATAAATGAATTAATAAGTGGATGAATTGAAGAAGCAAACATATAAAAAGGCTATCCACTATTCACTTTTTGACTATCCACTCATTATGCTTCAAATTCAAAATATCAAACTTTGTTCGTCCTTTTGTTTTTGCTCTTTCGAAAATTTTGTACGCTTTATATGTCTAAAAAAAAAGTAAACTAAATTTCTAGAGTGATAAGAATTTACTACATTTAAATTACTACAACAATAAGATATCCTCAAATCACCATAAACGTATTATTTACTATTCATAGTACTATGCCATATATCCACGATTCTCTGAAAACTAAAAATGCAGCTACAACAACAGCAATTCGAAAAAAGTAACCATACATTGTAAAGGCAAAAAATTTCCAAAATACTGAAACAACAATGTACCTGCCAGAAATGAATCCAGTCGGTTTGGAGATCAGAATAATCGTTATTTTAAGCATTTAAGCTTAAATTATATCTTTTCTTTCAATATAAGCTCAGTATTGGATAAAAATTTTGTTACTTAGTAACATTATTAAAAAGCCATATATTAGTGCCACATACTCGTAAAAAAAAAAAACTAAGAAGGCAGAAGTATTTAACAAACAAGATATTTGGTAATACTCGATGAAGAAAGACGCGTAAAAATGCTAAAACAAATAAATGAGCACAAAATATAGAGATTAAATAAGCTAAGGTAGTTGATTTTTATTGCATTACCATCGATATTATTGAAATATCAAGAGATTCCTTGAGAGTCCTTATCTTACTTTTCGTTTAAAATCTGAATTGCTTTTAAGCATTTTCGATCTTTAGCTGATATATCTGTCATTATCTAATCTCATGAAGGTTTCAAATTAATTTGCTTTTCTGAAAAAAGGGAGAAAAGATGCTATAAGAAATAAAGGATTGATACCAATCACGCAGTCAAATATAAAATTAAAAAAATGATAAAGTTTTAGAACAGACATGCAATTTCTTCCAAAGATGTTGAAAAGTCCTTTTCTACGCTCAGGAAATGTAATCCCTAAATTTTGAACCATAAAAGTCAAAAAGAAATAAAGAGCTTAATCCATTGGGAAATAAAGAAATAAAACTATCTACAAATGAAAACAATAAAAATCTAACCAAACATTAATCAAAGAATGAATTTTCATGAAACACCTGGTTAAACCTAACTGAATTACTACCATATACACTCTTAAATGTGAGCCTACAATAATCAAGGCACACAATTTTACATTATACAAAAGAAAAACCCTGCAAAAGCAACAACACACAAGCAGAACGAAATGAGTTAATCTGAACGATAGATTACAACGTTTTTTTTTCTTTTTTTTTTTTCAACAGCGTTCTAAAAAAGAAAAAATCATTTGTAGTGGCCAACATCTTGTATGTCGTCGGCAGCAACTCCGATCTTAATTCTTCAAGCATCGTCTGTGATGCAAAAGGTCCAAATGATCATTTTCATACGTACTCGGTTAGCGTGAAAGCTTCAAATAAATAAAAAAACAAAGTTCTACTTTATGAAAATTTAAAATTTGAATTCTTAAAGCAAAGATTTTCGATTACTTCAGTTGTCGATAACAAAACGAGCGGATTCCTCCGACCAGTACATCTGAAGATATCAACAAATTGATGACACGTTAATATCAGATGACTGGATGGGAAATCTCGGTTAATAATGAGGAAATGTGAAAGCAGAAAGAAGAGAATATGTCAATTCATCCCATTTTTTTTTTCTAAGAAATGAAATAGCAGATATATAGATAAGAAATGATCAAAGATATTACCTTATCATTTGCTATAATTTTATATAAAAATTTGGAAATGAAGAGTGGAAATGCATCAACATCTCATATAATAAAATACACTGACCTGATCCATTTTATTTAACGTCGTTTTCATATCATCATTATAATTAGAAGGTAATAAAACTGGAGGTGGTATCTCGAGATGATTATCATGCTGTCCAGCATCACTACTGTCAGCATTTGTTGACGACGTTACTTCCTCCTCATGAACAATCACAGGTAATGGTGAAACAGGTCGTTTTGGAGGCAAAAGATAATCATAATCCAGTACCGTAGATAACGGCAATCGACGTAATTCTTTTGGTGTAAATCTTAAATTTGCAATATAACATGAGTAAAATTCAGTTTGCTGAACAATTACTGAAACAATAAAATGATATTCGGAAATCATGTATACTTTTTATAGAAATGTTGATATTGGCCATGAATAAGTGCAGCAGGATAGGGTCCTGGCCGTGTATATTCTGGAGGCATCCGTTTCCATCGATTTTTTGAAGACTGAATGATCTAAAAATAGCAGTACTGTTTATTTTTGTACACATGTGACAACTGAACTTCTCACTCCTAAAATTATATAACATACCGAAGTTTGCAAATCCCAAAAATAACGCCGCTCGGTTCGTTTAATTGCGTTCATTTCAGAGTTAAATTCAAAAGCGCTCCTTATAGCGCTCTTCCTTAGCTCATCCATCTTCTTTGTATCCAGTTTTATCTAGAATATTAAATGCCTCACTCGAAATAAGTCTTACTCAAAATAAAAATGTCTTCTTCTTTAAATATCTAATTAAAATAACAATCATAACAAACACACAGCATCTAGCCGCTTCTGCTCTTCTGCCATTTGCAATTTCACTTTATCAGCTGCCGCTCTCTGGTATTCCTAAAGAAGTAAAAAGATTGATAACAATCGAAGTAAATCGAAGTTACAACAATCGACAGAAAAAATGCTTGCTGAAACGTAATATTTTATTAAACATTGGTTACATAAAATCTGGCATATGACTTACTGAATATATAGCTGGATAATCCGAAGCCATTAATTCATGAATCTCAATTGCTCTTAAGGCTGTCAGACCATGCATTTCTGGAAATATAGTACGAATTCATCATGCATATCATCTAGATTTGGACACTAGCTTACAAAAGTTCCTACAATAATTAAGAAAGAGTTGGTAAAGCCAAAATTTTTTCACTGAATAGACGGCCACAATTCTAATAATAGTTGTTATATTGAATTTAGAAGGCGCCCATCTAACATTTTTTCTTAGTCAGTAAAAATAAGAAAAAATAACATAAAAATAGCAAAAAAAAAAAAAAAAAAAAATACGTCGCAAAAAAAAAGAAAAGAAAAAACGATACGACATAAATAACATACGTGCATAACTTAGATTGCTAATAAGAAAAATACTAGATTTAAAATTTACGATGTTCATTTATAGCTGTAGCGAGTTTATAATTAGCCAATAAATATTCTCTCTCGTTGATTTCAATGGTGTGGCGGCTTAATTCAGGATACTTTCTTTTAAATGATTTTACGTCCAACAGCTCCGCAATTTGTTCCTAAATAAAATATTATGCAACACTGAACTGCAATGGAATGAAATATAGCTATAATGTGTGATATTCCCATAGGGATTGCATGCAGCATAGCAATGATATGTTCAACTAATCCGAAGTGTGAAATGACTTATAATCATCATTATGACAATTTAAATGACTTATAGTCATCGTTGTGACAATCCAAGTATTAAAATAAAAACAAAACAAATGCGCATTATTTCCAATGTCTATTATAACTCTAGTCATGAATTTATCACAATGCAAAGAAAAGAGATGGACTGAAGTTGGAAAAAAAAGAGTGGTATACCAAGCGATAGGATTGATTTCAACATAGACTAAATATGTTACTGTAAGGAAAATAGCCAAACTTTTGCAATGACAGAGAAATACAAAAAGAAATATTAAAAAAATATCACGCAGAGTTTAAATGGCAACAAAATCCTCATGAAATTAACAGGGTAATATAAAATGACAAAACCAAAAGTATTAATAAATAGCATAACGGTAAATTTATGTTGCAAACAGCAATGTTAATTAAAATGACATAAAATCGGATTGGGACTTACCTGGATAAAATAACGTTCGCCTGATTTCGGTGGCCATTCATATTCGATAATATGGCTTGGTTCAATATGCATATGTGTTGTATCCGCTGTAATGACACGTGTTGATGAACTTTTAACCATGCGACCTTCTTTGCCACCTGCAATATATTTGTCATATCAAAATATGAAGGGAAAGAGTTCACAGTGGACTGAGTGAAGATATATGGGCATAAGTTAATGATTATTACCATCTTGCAATCTACCAAAAAAAAAATCCGAATATTTTACTAAAAATCTTTGCAAATATGTGTTGAACATCCATAATTAGCTCAGCTAGAAAGAAATCGTTAAAAAGTCATTATCATAAGTTTACTGGAAAGTTTTTGAAACAATGGTGCTTGATTCAAATCAATCAAATTCATTAATGAATGCATAAAGCTAATCAAAAATAGATGGCTAGAATTACCAGTTTTTGGTGTTCCCTCAGCAGGAATTGATTCCGAATCCGGAATTGGCAAAGATAATTTTGTCGATTCATTACTGATTTCATCAACAACTGTCGTTGAGGTAAGTATTGATGTTGGTGCTTCACTTAGCTTCGAACTAGACGATTCATCTCCACCTAACACAATATCCATCACTAAAATTAATTTATGAAACATTAAATGAAGCTGTAACATACTACAAAATGTCGACGCTGTAACTCAAAAGAAAAAAGAAAAAGAAGATTTACAATTTACAAATAAACTTTTAACTTCTCAATGAAATTTAACCTGCCCCCAGTTAAAATTATTAGTATTTGAAACATATACGATTATTAGTAAAACATAATTTGCTGCAACAAAATCACATATCTAGAATCATACCAAACGTGGCATGTATAAAATCATGCCGGACGCCACATGTACAGAATCATGCCGGACATCACATGTACAGAATCATACCAAACGTCACATGTACAAAATCATGCCGGACGCCACATGTACAGAATCATGCCGGACATCACATGTACAGAATCATACCAAACGTCACATGTACAAAATCATGCCGGACGCCACATGTACAGAATCATGCCGGACATCACATGTACAGAATCATACCAAACGTCGCATGTACAAAATCATGCCGGACGCCACATGTACAGAATCATGCCGGACATCACATGTACAAAATCATACCAAACGTCACATGTACAAAATCATGCCGGACGCCACATGTACAGAATCATGCCGGACATCACATGTACAGAATCATACCAAACGTCACATGTACAAAATCATGCCGGACGCTACATGTACAGAATCATGCCGGACATCACATGTACAGAATCATACCAAACGTCACATGTACAAAATCATGCCGGACATCACATGTACAGAATCATACCAAACGTCACATGTACAAAATCATGCCGGAGGCCACATGTACAGAATCATGCCGGACATCACATGTACAAAATCATGCCGGACATCACATGTACAGAATCATACCAAACGTCACATGTACAAAATCATGCCGGACATCACATGTACAGAATCATACCAAACGTCACATGTACAAAATCATGCCGGACGCTACATGTACAGAATCATGCCGGACATCACATGTACAGAATCATACCAAACGTCACATGTACAAAATCATGCCGGACATCACATGTACAGAATCATACCAAACGTCACATGTACAAAATCATGCCGGAGGCCACATGTACAGAATCATGCCGGACATCACATGTACAAAATCATGCCGGACATCACATGTACAGAATCATACCGGACGTCACACATACAGAACCATACCGGGTAACCGGCCCTCAGCAGTTTCAATCACACCTTTTCTAACAATTTTAAGCATACCCACTATGCAAATTGATTTCCGACTAACAAACGATTGGTAATTTTTGGGACTTTTGGTTCCTTTTTTTTTTTGTGGAGTAAGATTTGAATGGAAAAAGGACAACCGGAAGAGGGATACGATCATTTTGAACGTGCAATTCGGAAAACCGGATGTTGGGAAGAACATTTAACATGTGCTGAATGTATGAGTCATACAAAAGATTGGCGAGAGTGTAAAGAAGAGGTAACATAGCCTATTTTATCTTTATCTTTTAGCATTATTTCAGTGCAAAGTTTTGTTCTCTTCTTTAATTTAACATTTTATTTTAAGTATTATACTTTTTCTTCAAACTTTTCCTCCTCAACTTTACTTGACGTTAGCATTGCTTAACCATCTTATCTTTTATTATTATTACCAGTCTTATCTTTTATTATTATTATTACCAGTAATCATAATGGTAGTAATTAATTAGTGATAGTTATTGTCGTTTAATAGTAATCACTTATTAAAGTTGAATAACGAATACTACTTACTAAAGGTAATTAATTCATTAGCACAAGTTAACACCATTTAGTCATCTTCAGTTGACTAGTAATTAATCAAATATCATTTCCACACTGATATCAATTTTTCACATTACATCAATATCATTCATATATATATTTGTTATACTTCTATTGAAAAGAAGAAAGAGAATTTCGACTTGAAACTAACTAATTTTCTTTTATTTTGCAGTTGCAGAAATTTAGAAATTGCATGCAAATCTACATGAAGGATAAGATGAAACCTTCTGGAAAAACGTCAAATTAAACGGTTATTAATGTTAATATTTTAATAATAATTTTATTCCGCCTTACTTCTTAATTAGAATGTTTCAATTATTGTTACACTTAAAATATTTTCGTTTTCCTCAAATTTGTAATAATTTCATGCTTGATTTTTCAGAATCAGAATTTGTAGAAAACATTCGAATCTGTTGAAAAAAAGAAGAGGCGATGCTTTCCGAATTGTTTGCTGAATTTATTATTGATTCGGATGATTGTGATGTTAATGACCGTTCTCATATGAATCATATCGATCCATATGTATATGTACCTTTAGACCGATCACCTAGATGGTTTCTTGATGATAATTTAGTTAGTTTCAAAAATTTTTTATCATATAATTTTGTATTTTTCTCCTTCATTCCATCTTTTTTTCTTGTATATTTAGCTTTCTTAATTTCAGTTCATCAAGAATAACAATGATAATAGAACACGTGAAACTGTACAGAATCAAGCTGCCTTCGCTTATCTTCAGGGTGATTACATCAGCTCAATGAATGTAATATTTTTTTAATCAAATACCAAATCATATAAATAAATTACACTTTTTTTTTTTTCATTTTATTAAAGAATTTTTATGACTAATTTCTTGAGCAATATAAATTGATGAAATTATTTATGATTTTTATCCAGTTGATCATTATTCATTTGATTCTCTTTGGACTTATTACATTAAGTGAAGAGACAAAATTCAGAAACTCTATCTTTTCAGTTATACTTTTATTTGTTGGAAAATGAACCAAAAAATGGTAATAGCAACTCTGTTTTTGCCTTAATTGATTCTATTATCCGATGTGGCTTAAAAGTAAGTTTGTCATATTCGCCTGATGAATCTGATATCTTTTTATTGTATGATGCTTGTCTGTATAGTAAGTAGTAGAGTCATTTTAGATTGCTCCAATAAATGGCCCTCAATTACTTTTCTTGCTGCAAAAACTGCATGCATTAGTGTCAACATACGAAGAACAGTTACAGTACTGGACAGAAAGTCTGGATGTTTGTTTCTTTTTGTTGTACTTTCATTACTTTATTTTTTTGCATTATCGAAATTAATATTTGGAAAATCATGAAATTTGCAATGCTATCAAAGACAGAAAAAAAAAGTCATACTTTACCAATGATATTTCAGGTGTATTTAGCAACTGGAACAAGCACCAGTGATTATTTACGAAATGCAATTCTATTATGTGCCAGTGTCGATTTACCAGAATTTTGGATTTCAATTTCAAAAAATTCACCTGTACTTCCTTTTTTTAATTGATATCGTAAAATTATGTAGTAAGACAGCGTTTATAAAGCTTCGAGATTAGTGTGAAAATAGCATTAATTTCAGGTTTCTTGCGTGAATCTTCGAATTGGGTCACTTTGTCGCGCTATTTACATCTTGGAAAATTCACCACCGTCCAAGGCTAAATGTTTGAATTCTTATGATTTGCAGCAGATGAAAGCTGAACTTCAAAATCTTTGTAATAAAGAGAAGGTATGCCTCTTCATTCGTAACCATAATCTCATTATTTTTATAAAAGTAGCTTTTCCGAATTCATATGTCTTAACACATACCAATTTATTTCTTCAAACATAATCATCGTGTATACCTTTCTTTTTTCAGTTATCTGAAGCAAAAGCAGCCGTTTGTAGTGATCTTATAAGAAGCGAAAACACTAATGCAACAGAAGTCAATCGTCCTTCTCTTTCCAAAAGTTTCCTCAAAGACAAAAAAGCCGAAGATGTTATGATACTTGAATTCATTCATCGTTTTTATTGGCTCTTTGCCGACATGGATCAACAATTAGTTAATTCCATACTACAGGTATCATGAAACTTAGCATAAAGAGTATTCAAAATAAACAAATGAAAATCATTGTTTGTTTCGAATATAATTTATATATGCCAAAAATTTCCTATCATCAAAGTGAGAAACAACTATACAATTACATGTAAGAAATACAAAAACAATATATATATATATATATACATAATCAATATTACAATAAGAATCATTATATAACATTGTCACCTACAGGTGATTGTACAAATGGTTCGTCTTTTTTCTTGTGTTCCTTGTCGCGTTGTTCTTAAAAAAAGTATGTAATAGAAACAACATATTGAAAGATTAAACAAAAAAGTACAGCTATGACAAAAAAAAAAAAAAAAAATTTTTCCATATCTCATAGTGTGGTGGGGGAATGAGTTTTCCGATTGTGTTTTTCACGGTATTTCTCAGTTAGAGCAACCTTAAGATTTGTTAAATAATGTTTTAATGAAACATATAACTATAATTGTATGAATTCCGGATCGGTTCGTTTTGTGAAATGCCTTTCTGTAATTTGGAATAAAAAGGAACCAAAAAAAGAAAAAAATTCCAGTATCTAAGAAATGTTTTCAAACAAACGTTTTGTCATTGTGTTAAAAACCAAAACAATGCATTACTTCTTTTTTCGAGTGTTTTCCGCCAACGACGATCGAGACGCGCTTGATCAGCGCGTATATTATGGTATATATCTCTGAGCTCTTGCAAGCGTTCCTGATAACTGTTTATTAGCGCTTCCCCAGTCAAATTTTCGTCTGAAAATTCTACACTTTTGAATTTCAGATTCTATATTTATATTTTTGGAGCTCAAATGGGTTAATTTTCAGAAGTGGTCGGTTAAAAATTACAATTAATCCTTGTAGCAGTGACTTCAACAATAACTGTACAATAATACATCAATAAATGTGGAAGCCAACGCAAATATAAGAAACTTCCATTAACAAAAAAATTTTAACATACCGATTGGTTCTAAATTTAGTTCCTTTTCAGCATATGCCATAGCTCCTTCTGATTCCACTTTTTGCTGCATACGTACTTTCAAAGCATGCCAGCTATCCCTTACGTTTGGCAAACCTGAAAATAAATCATATAAATATAATCAACGCTGGATACAAAACACATACAAAAAAACTTTGTCTGTATGCATTTGAAAGTCTATTTCAAAGCTAAACTAAGGACAGATCCTCATTACTTATTCCAAAGCAAAAATTTTTATTCATCCTCAAAACTTGCGAAAAATTAGTCTACCAATTTTATAACGTCAAACAAGCATACAAAAAACATACTTTCATCATCGCTCGATGAGCATTCCTCACTTTCTTTACTTCGCTCGTCAGTATTTACTTGTTTGTACCCTCCTTTTCCTATACCTCTACGTTCAATCAATGTATTCGACGCATTTCTACCAACTTTCTTCTTTTTCATTCCACGACCACGCTGTTTAAGTCCCAAAGACATTGGTGGATGCCAAGCTAAAAATTTTCTATATGCATTATTTTTCAAACTAAACCATTTATTATTAAAGAATACTCAATTTTCCTGCTAACTGACTTCTTTCACTCATAATTTGTTTGATTTCTTTAGCAGAATTCCAAAATTATTAAAATAAACTTCAGAACGCGAAATCAAAAAAAGAGCAATACTTACAAAATGAAGTGGCGAAATGAAATGCCATTTCGAAAACTATGAATTCAAGAAGAACAAAAGTTTGAAATATGCATATTCTTTTAAGCATGAAAAGAATGAGAAAAATAAAGAAAAAGAGTAGGATTAAATGAAGTTGCTAATTTATATGACCAAGCAACTTCTTAAAACTCGTCAGAATATTAGAATCAAATTTTAAAGTTTAAGTGACACCTATTTTTTAACCATTTATCATAATAGATTACCGTCATCATCACATTCTTTTAAAGTTACATCTTCAGCTGCAGCTTCTAATTCGAATGAGATTTCTTTAGATGAAGTTATTTTTTGAATCAGATCATCAGTAGGTACTGAAAAAAAAGGAGAAATAGATCAGTTAACATTCAAATATGAGCCTACTTAGTTTAATGAAAATCTGAAAGCATTCCGAATTATAAAAAAGAGCTTTCTATCATAACTATATGAAGAAGAACGAATATAAACATACAGATTTGCTGCACTGTACTAGTTTCCATTGACTTGTTGTCGCTATCCTTTTTTAAATCTATTTCATCACTTTCTGTTAGAACCATCAATTTCGTTTGCCTTTCATTTCCATCCTGCAAGGGAAAATACTAACATTTTCAAAAAAGAAGAAAAGTCAAGATATCATAAATATTATCTAAAATAAAATCTTCTGTTAATAATAGCCTTCAAGTAGGACTATTAAGCATATGATTAACTTTAGCTGATTGGTGGAAGCCATGTTACACTGTTTCAAGGGAAATGTAATTAGGACTGAATGCAATCAAATGTTAGCCTCTTTCAAACAAATAAAAAAAATTTCAAGTACAAATATAACATTCATTAATGTTCTAAATGATTTTATAAAGATAGGATAAAATAATAAAATAGAATTGTTAACGTTTTTCATCGAATTCTATGTCCAATAACTCAATTCTTCCATTACATTTTCATATAGAAGAAGCAATAAAAATATAAGCATGAGAATAAATCATTTTGTTTTTAGGAAAAAGAGGCATTTAAAAACTAACCGGATGTTGTTCTTTTTCTTCTGCAACTTCTGTTACTTCTAAAACTATCAACTTGTCATCATTTCCATCTAAAAAAAAAATGATGGTAATCATATAAAGTAGACTATATGGCATATTCCGTAATAAAATCCAATTTATGATAACATCTTTTCCACTAACATAAACAAACATACCAGCTCTTTCATTGGATGATGATTGTTGATCGTTTTCATACTTTGTCGTTTTTTCAGCATCAATCTGCTTAGTCCCAGATACTTCATCCAGTATTACCGAAACATGATCAGCTACAACTTCTTCCTTTGTAATGGTAGCAGCTACAAAATAAAATAAGTAATGCATAGAAGTATATGATAATTATTTTCAGTAATAATTTAGTTGATTTATTGATAAATGAATCCTAAAAATGATCTTTAGAAATATATTATGGAAATAAAATACAGACAAAAACAACTTTAGGTATACCACTTTCAGGAGATGTACTACATACGACAAATGGTGTATTTGTTGAATTCTCTGAAAGATCTACAACCACTGAACGGTTATCCGACATTAGTCTACGCCGCTTCAAATTTGAATTAGCTTCAGATAACTTTTCCTATAATTGATAAATTTTCACTTTTCTTCAATGATGTATAGTTTAGTTTCTTGCTTTTTAAGTCATTGAGAATTCATTATATATATATATATTAAAAAAAAAGAACTAATCATGTTCAAATACTAACCTCTGCAGTAACACCGCTAAGAAATATTGTACTCGATACAAGTTCACTGGCAAAAGAAAGATGTGATGATGTTTCCGAAACTGAAGCTTCTTCCGGCAAACGATTAAGCTAAATCAATTAATATGAAAAACATACAGTCCAGATTTTTAAAGTATGCAAACACAAGCTTTTTTTTTTCTGGTGCATTTTTTCATTCTCTTCTTTCCTTTTTCATGCATCTCTTCACCACTTTTCCGCTGCTCCCTCCTCACTCTTCCTTCTTCTGTCTCTTTCCTCACTACTACACTATACTAAAGCTTTCAGATCACTAGTTTTTTTAAATTAGACTATTTATGAAAAAAAGCATACAACAATTTCCGCATCAGATTCAGTCAGAAGATTGGTGCTCGCAAGATGGATAGCACTTTGCTTCGCTGAGTCATCCGATGCTTTCAGTACCGTTGAGTCAGCCATTGTCAACGGAACTTTCTGCTAATTTTCATAAATTTAAAAACAGAACTTGAAGTGGAAAAAAAAACTATCAATTTATAAAACACTTTAAAATCTCAAAAACATATCAAAATAAAATCTGATTCCTAAAAATGGCAAAAGAAATAGTTATCAAAAACTTACCAACACTTTTTTCACTTTTTTTTCAGAAAACGTAGTAGAACGCGAACGAGGCTCAAGATGTGTTGTATGTTCATGGGTGTGCGATAGCCGCCGAGGTCTAAAAACGACATTTACACTTACGGCAATAAAATTTAATGAAATGAACAAATCCTCAAAAAAGATTTTTTACAGATTACAAAATCTAATAAATTTCAAAATAAAAAGTCATACTAGTAATCAAAAATCAAAATTTCCTTAAAACATGAGGAGTGTTTCTCAACCTTAAATCAGATCTAAAAAATAGTTTTTCTCAATATTTTTCTCAGCTCAACGTCGTTATAATATATAAACATCCCATAAGAATCAATTCTACTTACTTTTTCCTTCTCCGAATTCTTACCCGAACTGAGCTGACCTTGCTTTTTCTCACTCTAAATTTCAAGTAACTTAGAAAAGCTATATATTCTTTACGTATCGTACCATATTCTCAATCTCGGTTTCAAATCAACAGTACTAAACCATCTTATCAAATCTATTTCAGACCGAGTGACCCATTTGCTTTACTGACCTCATTCCACTACTACACGCTTCAGTTGCCAAAAGTTTGACTGGATCAACTGATGAACGCCATGCCACAGCTGCTTCAAGAGTTGGAGCACTTAATTTATCCGAAGCAATCGCTAAAAACTGTTCTTCCGATAGTTTCTGATCCTAAAAATTAGTTTTGATTTAAATGAAAAAATTACTTCCATCCATTTCTCATCGCAACTTTTTTTTTTTCTTTTAAACTAGTAACTAAAAATCAAACTACATATTTCATACTTTGCATTTTAATTTGAAACTGACATAGAAGAAATAAAACACTAACTTTTTCGTGCACTTTAATTTTGATTAATTCAACCCATTCATCGTAACGAGAATTCCATCCAAGGTAATGTACACAACATGTCATTTCTCGGAGAATACCTTCTAAACGATCATTTAAGCGTGCCGATGCTCTTGTCAACGCTTCTTTTCGCTCTTTCTCATCACACTCCATTGATTCGTTAATGGCTTTGCACCTTAAAATTATCATTTGACTGTGCTACAAAAAGCAATGGACAAGTGGAATCAAAGAAATAGATATCATTCACAATCATATATTTTATCAAATAACCAGAAATAGTATTTTTTTTTAGTTTTGATTCAAGAATATTATTTTCAATTTTTATGAATAATCGACAAATAATCGATTATTCTCAAAATATGGAATGAAAAACAAACCTCGCCTCGAAGTCCATCATTGAAGAGAGGACATCACTGTGCGAAATTTTACCCACTGTAATCACTCTTGCATCATACCACTGACCATGATGATAAGCTTTCACGTTTTGTCCCATATAGAAATTCGTCAAGCTATAAAGAGTTATTTTTATCGTTACAAATGAGTAATTTATACATGATCTTTTCAAATAATGCTACATTGCTCATCAGAACTGATACGAACATATATCTTTCAATTAACAGCAAAAGAATGACTTCGCTTTTAGAGTGACCAATAGAAAAGAGAATCAAGGCTTAAAATGATAAAACATACACTGTAGCAGCAGAACAGTTAAGCCATGGTACACCTTCTTTGGCCTTTTCTTTCCTGAATACTTGAGGAATATCTGAATCTTTTCCTGTGGCATTCCCATCACGTTTGCTTATCGATAATTCTTTTTGCTCAACAGGAAGGCGACTTCCTCCAGCGATTAACTTTCGAGCTTCTTTTATGCGCATTTGCCGAATGTGTGCTAAAAAATGGAGGATATTTAAGAGCATTGTTAAACTTAAATACTAAATATTATTCATGGAATACTTTCCTGAGAAACAAAAACAAAATTTCTTCATGATTTGAGCAACAGGTAACACTTTTTTTTCCTAATGATGATTTCTTATCATGACACTAACATTATCTATACAGTTCGAAAATTTTTAAATTATGCAACAACCTTTATCATAGCCGAGTAAAAAGCAAACCTTCATCATCACTTTCGCTAAGTCCCTGCTCGGCATTTGAGACAGTTGAGACAACACTTGGAGATTTCCGCTTGATATAACACTCAGAAGATATCTTCTTCTCAGATTTTCCAATCTAAAATTCGTAAAAATGAAACAGATGAAGATAATAAGGGCAAATATAAAACAGAGAGAGAGAGAGAGAGAAAAAAAAAGAGCATTCACTAAATAACCTGAACAAAACAATGAGCTATAAAAATACCTTTGATATTTTAGTTCTTTTATCTAGATCGGAAACTTTCGAAACAGGCTGTTGCTCATCTCTACAACAGAATAATTAATTCAACTGAAAGAATCAAGTTATTAATAACGTTCTGTGTAACTATGTAACTGGTAATGGTCAGACTTTATTAGCGAGTAAGCAGCACATCTGGGTGCATATGTTTAACTTCTTTTTAAGAAACTAGCACGAACTTATTTGCATCCTTCTCATTATCCTTTTTCTTTGGACCTCGGCATTTAACCTTCGATTCCTTTTCAATCTTAGAATTTCCTTTCTCTTTGGTACTTTCGATTGTTTCACTATCGCTCACACTTCCTCTTTCCTGTTCTTCCTCATCTTTCGTTTTAGACTTTATTTTATTACCAGGTGATAAGCAAAGTAACGGTGTTGAACTCTGCGACGACGTGGAGAGTGCACTAAAAAAATAAAAAGTTGATTAGTACGCCAAACTATTACTGCTTTTAAATTTTTAAAAGACAAAAAAGAAAAAAAACAATAAGCAGATTATCTGTTTCTCTTCTACCAATAAGAAGTCTTCACTTACGAGCTAGAGATCAAATTTCTGGCCACAGATTAAGTTTTAATAAGCAATTGCAGTTTAAGACTATAAAAACATGCCCATCAAATAACAGAGTTGTATATTTTTAGTTACAGTATATTCTTACACTCAGAAGTAACAGAGAATGCAATGAAAGTCAAATTGACTGTATTTCAAAACATGAAAAAAAAAAAAAAAAAAACAGGTATTCGGTAAATAAAGGTTACATACCCTTTCATTTTATCGTCATCTTCGCTGATATCAGATTTCATTATAGTTCGCTCATCCTTTTTTACTTTTTCTTTTCTCGTACGTGAAATGCCTTCATCTTTCTCGCGTTTTGTTACCTTTCCTTTAGTTGAGCTTTCTTTTTGTCCCTTTTCCTTTTTCTTCGTTGTCATTAATGTCCATCTTCTTCTTTGCAACTACAAAATTATACTTATCCGACAGAAATATTGCACAAGTTACAGAAAACTTATCAATAGCAATAAATCTAAACCTGTATATTATGACGATCTAACAAACGATTTGGACGTTCACTACGACTAGAAGTTGATTGTGTAGGAGTAGACAACCAACTTGAAATACCCAAATTGCGGTAAAATGAGTTAAAATGATCCAAGTATCTGAAAAAAAAAATCTCAAGTCGTAATGAGTAGAGACTGATTAATAGAAGAAAAGGTTATTCACCTCGAATAGGCATTTTTGACAGTAACTGAAGTTGCCCCCGGGCAACCTTCTAAATGCATTTTCCGCAAAACCAACTTCCATTGATTGTTTTCAGTGACACGTTTTTTACCTCCATATCGTTGAACAACATTATATAAACGAAACATGTCTATGTCTTTTCCACCAAGTATAGGTGCTCGGTTAATTGGAGTTCCTGCAAAGACGATTGCAGCTAAATGTGCTAAAAGTTCAATTAATTAAAATAAAATGAATCAAATGTAATATTTATTGCTCTTCGCGAATCCTTCATTTTTTTTTACCCCCTGTCCCCCACCCCAAAAAAAAAGAAAGACCCTTAGAATTGTTCACATACTAATTCAATCTCAATCCTTGGTAAGGCACAATATATTTAAAAATTTTCATACTGCTCTTTAAGATGCAGAAAAAAAAACCTCTTTCTTCATGGAACTTATACAGTTGGGCAGTAAATTGATCTCTTTCTTCACCATACTCTTCATCACTACTGCCTTCGCTCTCTGAAGAGCTACTCGCAGCGGAACTATAAAAAAAAAAGTACTTTAACATCAAAGTAATAATCGAAGTAACAATGATGCAATATCTACCATTACATACATCTAAGGGAAAAAAATAACATACATTTTCTTCTCAGTTTCTCGTTTCGCTTTTCCAGAAGTTTCCAAACGTTTTTTTTGATCAGTAGAAGAAGATCTATGATCGCGTTTCTTGGATCGTATTTCGTCATCATAAATTTGTGACCTTTCCCAACCTGCCGGAAAAATTTCTGAAAAAAGAAACTCACATCAACTTCGCAAATTATGCAAAAACAAGTGCCAAACAAGAAGTTTGCTACATGGCGTAAATTTATTTACCTTTTTCAACAAAAGCGATAGCTCGATCCATAGCAGCTTTAGGTGACGAATCAGGAAATTTGAGAACTGAAGCACCTGGTGAAGACAGTCTAGTCATCGGACAAGCAAAGCTAAAAAATAAAGAGGGTTGAATTTGGAAGATAAATCGCTTAGTATTTTCCCTAAGAAACAAAATTCTATACAAAAATAAACATATGAAAAATTTGAGAAACTATCCAAATAAACCAAAATCTGGATCATCCAATCAATTAATACAATATGTTACTTGAAATCATATGCAGAAGCATATACTATTTCAGCCAAGCAAACATAAACTGTGCCAATTATCATATCTCCATTTTTGGATTAAATAACGTTCGGTATTCTGGCTATTTATTGAAATAAATTTACAGCAGGATTTCGCAAAATAATTTCTAATAATCATCTAGGGAAAGTCACTGAAATCCTAAAAATCCAGCATTTGAAACATACTATTTTGAATCCCTGAAGCTTCGCAGCAAAATATCACTTTTGCCAATATTTACAGTTCCCTTTGTTGAAGCTTTAAACGATACTTCTGCAACAACAACTGCTGGTGTCCATTTACCTCTATGTGTAGCATCCTCATACACTGCCACAACATTTCCAACTTTATATAGCTGCAAATAAAATTGTCAGCAATATGAAAGGAAATCACAGAAAGCTAAATAGAACTTTTTAAATTTCGGCCCTCAAATATTTGAAACAAAGAAAAAAAAAATCCTATAACTGAAAATATTGCACCATAAGGAAAAAATCTTACCTTTTTCGTATTATCAATATCTTTAGACCTTTTCTTCGCCATTGGCTCCACTTCCTTATCTCGAAGTCCTTGTCGTTTTCGTTCACTCTTACGGCTTGTGCTACTTCCACTCATCACATCCATCTTCTTATCACTTGTATGGGATTTATCATCATCATTATCATCACTACTGCAATGCTTTTTTCGTGCATGTGTTCTTCCTTTTTCCTTATCTGTATCGTCAATCTCGTTATCATCATTATCATCACCATCACCATTATCATCATCATCATTATTATTATCATCACCATCATCATCATCATCATCAATATTACTGTTCTCATCATCTTTATCATAGTTATCATCATCGTCTTCACCTAACCTACGCTTACCAGAAGAGCTACTTGATTCTTTGATACGTTTCAACGCATCCGTGGCAACTGCTGCTGCATAACGCTTTTTACGTGTTCGTGCAATAGATTTGGTGAGAATCTTATCGGCAATCATGCGTGAAACTGATGGTTTCGGTAAACGCGCAAAACGGCGCACCCTCGAATTGCCCGAACTATTGCCATCATCATTATTATTGCTATCATCATCCTCATCGGCATTTTTCAAATCACGATCACTATCACTTTGTTTGTAGAATGTAAATTCTTTACGCGTCTTGCCTAAACGTCTTGGAACTGATTTAGACGTTAATCGACGTGTACGAAGTGTACGACCTGGTTGTGCAGGGACATTTAGAGCTTCACTGATGCTGTTACTGGTGTCAGATAGGGTAGTGCTAGTAGTACTTTCAAGTGTTGAACTATCTTCGCTGGATGTCGCATCATCACCACCATGTTCACCACCATCTTCTTTATCTTCAACACTTGCTGATACTGATTGCTGTTGTTGCTGTTTTGATTGTTCCAAATTTCTCCTATGCATAAAATTCATTTACATAATACTCAAGGTGCAGTGGCATGCTGGATGCGCGCAGTGCATACTGACTAGACGAAATGCAAGTCAGTTGTAATGGTGCAAAAAAACTTTCAACATACAATTAATTCTCTAAAACTAAGAATCAATATTAGTGTTTTTTTTTTTGTCCAGAAAAGAAAATAACAAAATTTTTTTTGCACACTGTAAAACTGACGATGTTATTGTAGATGAAGTGTATGCAGTGGACACTAGAAAGAACATTTCCAACAATCCAATAATTGGAGATGTGATGGGTCACCTCGAAGGTATGAAAGCTGTTAAGGTGAACCACTGAAGAATATAAGAAGTAATATGTGACCTTCAGAAACGCACTCTGACCTTAATACATCACAGTTTTAAAGATCTCAGAAGCAGAAAAAAGATGTATGGAAGAGCAAAAGTACTTAAGCCTGATTAATGAACACTTGAAATCTAACAATTTTCCGAATTTTATGATCAAATCGATAATCATCCATAAATCATTTTGCATAAATGCTTCGTTATACTTTTGTTTTCCACTTCTCTTTCTTTTAAGCGAGCAACTATACATTCATATTTCAGATAAATGAATGAGAAAAAAAGAAATTACATAACAGACGTTTGTTTTAACAGGTTGCACTAATGACAGTGATATGATGCTTATGACAATGAATGTTCAGCAGATGCAAAACAAATATGCATATTGCATAATGTGAAGAGATAAAGAAAGAGTGCAATCTTACAAAAGTAAAACAAAAGACAAAAAGAGAAAAATTAGCTTTTATAAAAAGTGAAGAAAATTTAAACTTTATTGATCGAATGAAACAATGATAAGGAAGCGAAAGGGGAGGGGAAAATGGATGACTGAATGTCCTTCAATTGTCCTATTGCAAAGAGAAAGGAAGAGAGAGAGAACAGAGAAAGAAGAAAATGAACGAATGAGTGGTTGATATTTTCTAGCGAGACCCATTTTCTCCCTTCAACATTTTGCTGTTGATATTCTTTAACTACCCGGTTGGATAAGGCAAAATTAAATTTTCCACTTTGCTATACTCTCTGATTAAAGGTAAAGTGGAAGGAGCAAGAAATGCCAAAATATTGAGAAAATGCAGTCAATATAAAGAAGAGAATTTTGAGAAAATGTTGAAATAGGAAAGAGAGTAGAGAGGAAAGCATTCTTACTACAGATAATGTGCGACATATGTTAGCGGAGAAGAAAAGCTACAGCAACTGTTATCGTTATAGAAAGACGATAAGAAATCCAATGAACATTTTAGGATAGAAGTCGAGGCATAACTAAAACATGACAGTCAATGTATGTCCTTGACTGAATTCAACATCAATACGATTTATAGTTGGCAATCTTGCCATTTTTCTACTTAATTTATATCTCCCTCTTTAGCATAATCAAATGAAGATTAATTCGCGAATCATGTCGGAACTAATGACTACAAAAAGCCATATGGTACTCGCTGTTACTTATGCTTTGAAATGAATCTTTAGGTATAGCAAATTTGCTAAAAGTTCCAATTTCTGCATAATGTTGATATTAAATGGGCATTAATCTTTCCTCTTTTTTTCGTCCTTAATATTTTTATGGTTGATGAGAAATTTGCATCACCATTATAACGTAGAATGGATATAAGCTGTTAAAAACTTGCTGTTATATTTAAGTGGAAAATTTTTTGTGAGTCACGATATATTAATATCATGACTGGTTAGGATGATGCTACGGTACAGCCATCGATAAACTGCTTTGCATTATATTTAAAATTGATAAAGAAAGACCTTTTTTGTTTTCCTCTTCGATCGTCAAGAACTACTGGACTACTGAATGATTCTGGTTTGTAGAGTGGCATAGCATCCAAATTGACATCTTCATTAAAATGTCTCGCACCTTTGATGCACACTTGTGTACGTCGTAACTGTCTTTCATCGCCATCATTAAAGACTAAAAATTGTATTATTAATAGACAGTGGTGATGCCTTCCAATTAAATTCAAAACTCTATGCTCATTCAGAGTGGCAATAATTTTAATTTTCCATAAAAATGAATTGCAGTTTAAATTTTGGACTACAGTTAAACTACAGGAATTTAAAAGGGGTTTACAACAGACAAACTCACCAACGACGTATACACTATTATCTTTAATATTCTGTATAACGCCTTTATAAGTGGCCCTTCCCTGTACAATTTCGACCTGTTGATTAACTTCCAAAGAACCCTTTATTTCGGTATGGTCAGCGAATATGGTACCATAAGGTGGTGTTTTCAGCAATATCTACAATTGTAAAAAAAAGAAGCTTAAATCTCTTGTTGTGAAAGTAATAGAGCTAAGATGATCGCCATCAAATAAAATCCTTGCTACTATATAAAGTCAGTTCTCAGTTCTCATTAACCTTTATATATACATATCTTTCTCGATTCAAAATATAATTCAAAAAATTCAAAATTACAAAAAAATTTGTAGACTGGGAAAATATATATAGAAAAGCGTTAATTTTAACATTAAAACCACATAAATCATTTAATGAAATTAACTTACTTTACATTTCACAGACTTCGTCATACGCTTTACTTTAGCTTCACAAAAAGCTCCTTTAAATTTTGCACTAACTTCAGTGCCAACACTTAAAAACGGAGGATCATCCGACTGAAAATAGAAATTTTATTACCAAGGACACTGCTATCATTCACCATTTATTTGTGAAATTTTCAAGGTAATTACCTCTCACAAATTATGCACACGAATCTACACCTCTTGACTCAGATATGGATTTAAGCACATTTAAAAGGAAAAATTGCTTTACAGACTTTTGTGCAGATCGTGCAGAATGATACTCAAATAATTTCAAAAAGGCACGAAACGAGCAAATCACCTGCATTATTATTTTATGCGGGAACCCAATCTGGAATTACACGGAAACCTTGAGGTCAGTAACTAAGCAACCAAAAAATTTTTAGACCTGAAATAGCATGAATGTATTGAAAGTATCTCTAACAGCACTAGAAATAGCGCAATTTGAAAGAGGGTTGATGATAATGGGAAAGTAAAAGAAAGATGAAGAAGAAAGAGAGACAGTGGATTACGTAGTGTAATCAATTAAAATATAGCTTGAGGAAAATAGCTATAATATCATTAATTGAAGTATAGTTTAGATAAAATATGCATCTAAATAGAATAAAGAATAAATAGATGGACAAATATTCAATAATTAAACGTTTCGTTAATTAAAACTATTTAAAAAAAATGACAAAATATGTATACTCATCCAGTTACCATGTAATAACATAAATAAGCATAAAAATAAACAATTAAATATGAAATTGAATATGAAATTAAATTGACTGAAAATAAATAGCAATACAATGTAATAAGAAGTAAAGTAAGATGCATAGAAAACCATCACAAAAACATTGCAAATGAGAAGCAAATGACTGATTTACTAAGTTCACCCCAACACACTCACATAAATCTGAATTTGCCACGAAGTTTTGACTTACCATTTCAAGGCCGTTGCGTGCAACAACAATGCAAACATGATCTCTTCGAAGCAATTTTTTTTTTAATTTGATTTATAAACTTGGAAATGATGTCCCATTTACTTAATCGTTCCACCATAACATTATGATGTAGAAATTTGTTTAATTGCAATTGTAAAATTTAATTCAATTAAGGAATTTTTTTTCAGTTATGATAAGGAATATATCATTGTGAATGAGAGCCATATTGTTTTCTCGTATTATAGACTGGCTGAAACCATTACAGTTTATCGTATCTATTCATCCTGTTATTAGCAAACGAACATTTACAGTTGCATTTATTAATCGGCAATCAGCACTGTACACTGACGCACGACGCGTACGTGCACGTCGAGATACATCCTCAAAAAATGATAGCAGACTGCTATTTTCATCGGAAGCATCAAATAATTGGAATGAGTACTAAATTTTCACCATTTCATTTTTTTTGTTGTATAAGATATCTGCTAACTTAGTTGAATTATTTGTCACATACATGAAAAATTGCGTTGTTAAAAGTTGATCTATTAAGCTATTATATTTTGTGCATTTATTGATCAAGTTGTCGTCGGTGATATCCTACAGCTGTTCTTATTCACAAGATGAATCCAATTGTTGATATTGTTTCAACTAAAATAAACTCCATTGAAGAAAGAATAAAATTGAAACTATAAGTCCGTATTCTGTAGTGTAGAATGCTAGACCAGAACTGTAATTTTATAAATTTCTGAACTTCATAAAAAACAAATCTGATAGCATAGTTCAAAAATTGTGGATTTATTATACAATTTATTACACTTATATCAATAACTTAATTGATTTGATCAAATAACGAATTTAGAGCAGCAGTAATGAAGTATTTTGTTTCAGTTTGATTAAGATTTATCCCAGTTTAAAATTATTGAAATTCTTATTTACTTCCGTTATCTATTTCAGTGTTCCAATTGTAAAAGCTTTTGTACATATCCCTAATAATTTCAACAATCCAATTATAGCAGTTTATTGGAATGATAATAGCGAATGTAATCGAGTCAAGGTGCTCTTTTTTTTTCTTTAAATTCTAATTGTTCTGGCAGACTTTTTCATGAACAAGAGCTGCCAAGACTTTCTGTAATTAAATTTCGCTTTAATAAGAAATCGAAACTATATTATATTATGATAACGTTTGCTTATAGGAGCATTCCGTAAGATCGACAACGAAAGCTGAAATTGAAGCTGTTTGCTTGGCATTGAAACAAGTATGCTATTCTTTGTTATATGCCAAGTTTTTATTTCAATAAATTATCCTGGTTTGATATGATTTCTAGAAAAAAATGGGAGGAAAAAGTTGATTTTTAGCATTGTGGCATTGCAGGCAGTTTTCAAAATGAATTTACCACGCGTCCGTATTGTTACAAATTCGAAATTTGTTTGGAAGCATTTTGGTAAAACATCATTATGGTGGAGCTTAGATGAGTTTCTACAACAAAAATCGATGACATTTAGCTTGTGCTTAGCCGAAGCTGGAGATTTATATCGATTACTACACATGATCGATGTATAAATGCATTAATTTAACATTGTTTTTTTTTTCTCATTTCAGTCCCTAATGTATTTTTCGTCATATTTGTTCATTTCATGCTAAAGCAGACATTTTTCATGCACTATTTGTCATTTCCAAAGAACTTTAGTTAATCCTCCATACATTTTTATTTAAAGTTGTGGAAGTCGTAATTGACGCATGCTTTTCAGGCGACTATTGAATACAGTTCTTCCATTGAAGAAACAGCTAAGAAATTTTTCGAGAATCTGATGAACAGAAAAGTGAGCAAACGGGAATCTGAAAATAAGAAGCCCTCTCCAATAGTTTCATTAAGAACAACTTTGGAAAAAGTGCAGAAGAGAAGTACAGGTTAATGATAATACTTTATATAGTAAGTAGAAATTAAAAGCAGTGAAGCGTAGGATATGTAAGCTAAATGAAATTTTTGATCATTTGTTTTTTGTTCTTTATGATTCTATTCTAAAATACCGTTATTTTAATAACAATAGATTTTGGATTGCTAAGTTGTAGCCCATCTATGAATGATCAGATAATTCTAATTGTTTGTGGTTGAAGTCATGTTGCTGCATGTCATCTACATAATTTCAGATATATTTATACCAGAAACACCATCAGCAGATTCAAAAAACTGGTGAGCATAAAAATTAATTAAAAGTCTCATTAATCAGTTAATCAATATATATGTGGTGATTTTTGGTCTTGAAACAGTTTAGATTTGTTTGGTGAACTCTGACCCATTTTGCTAAACTGTAAGCTGTTTATTTCTAGTGCTTCCAAAAACCTATCGAGTGATGATGTTCCTACTGTTTATACATGTGGCGTTTTACATGTCGAAGGAAATGAGAAGAAGTATGTTAAGGCAGGTTGTGGTGTTTATTGGCCACATGCGCAGGAATTAGGTACCGGAAGACGTTATAATTTCTACCCTATAACTTTAGTTCGATGTCAGTTACAAGCTATAATTGATGCTCTGCAACAGGTAATCATAAGGTTCAAATCTGTGATTATTATTATTATTATTATTTTTTTTTTCATATGAGCAAGCATAAATTCTATTATGCAGTCTTAAGGAGAGATTTTTAGGCTGCAAACCAAAATTACCGCAAAATTGTCCTTCGTACTGATTGCGTCTCTTTTTTGGTTCATCATTCACGTCAGTGGTTAAAAGCTAATGGATCCTATGTGAGGTATCATGATCAATATCTAAGGATTATGGATTTATGTAAAGGCATCAATGTATGACTTTCATCAGTTTGAAATATACAAATTAGATAAGAATTGAACGACAAAGCGAATCTTTTCACTGACAGCATCAATTGCTTTGTTTGAAAATATCAGTATTTTCCAAATGATCAAAATTTTAGGTAAAATTTCAACCAGCAAATGATCGAGTTGCTTTGAGTCAAGCAGAAGCACTAGCTGAAAATGGTGTTTGCTTACCGATACCATCCAGAAGATCTCAAAAGAAAATGTATGATAACAAAACTTCAAATGCTACGGGTGTTAAATGTTCATTGTAGCAGTTGTTTGCTTGTAACTAATTGCTGTGCAATCATTTTATTTGATTATTGTTCGGTTATTATTATTATTTTTGTATATTATTGAATTTAGCAAATAAGTCAATTTAAGAATTATAATTGAAGTTGTTTTTGCATTGAATTATCAGATTTAATGCTTAAATAAAATATAGCAAAACGTACTCACAACTTTTCTTAATTACTGGAACATGCAAACAGCAGTGAACACAATTTTATAGTTTCATGTATTATTTTAATTTTGCTAGAAATGCTTAACTCCTTTGAATCCTAAAATTTAAATGAATTTTTTCAAATTTATAAGAAAATATATAAATGAGCTTTGCTATTATCATTCAAAACATTACATTTGTTGTGAAGCACTAAACAGGTCGTTCGGTTGTTATAAACAAATAGAAGGGAGGAAAAAGTTGCTTATAATCTGATTTCAGAGTTGAATTTAACTTTTTTCAAAAGTTACTAAAATTTTGGAATGTTATAGAACTTCCATTTAGCACTAATTCAGTCTTATTAAATTTTCTCAACAAATATGTGTAAGTGGAGATTCGTCGTAAATTTTTATCATTAAATTTTGAGACTGAAAGATATTTCAGAATCAGAAACGATGAATAAAAGAGCCAATAAATCGATAAAAAGCAAAAATGATTCGTTGAATGCAATCTCGAACGGTGATTTCATTCCTTTGCTTATTATATAGAGAATGTGAAATCTTTTAATTCTCAGAAATGAATGTCGAAGTAGATATTATAACTAAAATTCGATAATGCTATTACGTGAGGTTGACGTGTTAGATACACTTTTTTAATACCAAAATTCGATAATGCTATTACGTGAGGTTGACATGTTAGATACACTTTTTTAATACCAAAATTCAATAATGCTGTTACGTGAGGATATATACTTTTTACGTGTTGACGTGTTAGATATACTTTTTTAATACCAAAATTCAATAATGCTGTTACGTGAGGATATATACTTTTTACGTGTTGACGTGTTAGATATACTTTTTTAATACCAAAATTCAATAATGCTGTTACGTGAGGATATATACTTTTTACGTGTTGACGTGTTAGATATACTTTTTTAATATTTCGGATTTTTTTAAAAATTGGTTTCTGTTAACTTAATATTACTTAATGTTTACGAAATTTTTAGTTTAATGTTTTCGAATTTGTTAGCTTTAGATGCTACTACACAACGATCACAAAATTCACAAACTGAGAAGATGGAACAGGCAGTAAGTCATATTTTTATATATGAAAGTTAATTTTTTTTTTTTTTGCATTTTGAAATTAATTATTTTGATAGTTTAGACAGTGTACTACATGGGTAATTATTCATTTTTACATGAAGATTTACTATACATAGGTTATTTTAAGTAAATTAATTGTTCTTCACTCTATTTCAGTTGTTAATTTAATCTTTGCAGTTATAAATTAAACTTTTAAAATCATTTCAAAATGATCTGATTGGCTTAATTCTTTTACTATTTTTATTTTATAGCAATTCATCGGTTTGTGCTTTTATTCTGCTCTGTTCCACCGTATATTTCTTATGTAAATTAATTTGATAGGATTGAAAATGAAATCAATTTGATTGTTATTATTTCAAATGAACTTGCCTATGTGAACACAATAACATTAATGAAATAAGTAGGAAACAGTTGAATTGCTATAGAATTTAAAATATTAATGATAATTTGAAATTAACTATTCGAAAATTTCAAAATTTATTTGACATTTTAATTTCGTATATCAAAAATTTTTGATTTTTTTTAAAAAAAATAAATTTGATTTTTTTTTTAAAAAAAATAAATGTTTCTCATTTTAGTTGCAATGTTCAAAAGTTGAAAAGGATGATAAATCAGCGTCAATTTTGCGTAAAACACCAAGTAAATATGCAATCTCTGTTAATCTAAGACTTTAATTTACGATGATTATCTATCCGGTATGCATCCGGAAAATTATGTTACACTGATTTTAATGCTAACCAATTAGATAATACCCTTTAATTTGATTATTATAATACTAAATTCATTGGATTAATTATGCCAATTGTCATTCATAAAATATTTAATGTTTCGGAATAATTTAATAAATTATAAAAGTTTCTTAAAATTTCCACAAAATAATTAGTGCTTTTTCCAAATGATTAATTTTTTTTTTTTTTTTTTTGCAGAAATGGTAATTGAGCGACGCGTAGTAAAGGTTAGTAATACTTTTTCTAAATGATTAATTTTTTTTTTCAGAAATGGTAATTGATTGTATAACAAAGGTTAATAACTGCATTTACAAAAATAAAATTTATATAATTCTAGGATTATCATTATTTCATGCAATGTATGCCTAGCAAAGTTGTAAATGCTAAGTGTTAAATGATTGTTAGTATTTTAGGAGGAATAAAACTAATTAAAATGTAATTTTGCAAAAACAAATCAAAGATTTTTAGTATTTGAAATACTATGAAGTATAGTATAAGCAAGCATGCACAAAATAATGCACAACAAACATGCACAAAGTAATGCACAACAAACATGCACAAAGTAATGCACAACAAACATGCACAAAATAATGCACAACAAACATGCACAAAGTAATGCACAACAAACATGCACAAAGTAATGCACAACAAACATGCACAAAGTAATGCACAACAAACATGCACAAAGTAATGCACAACAAACATGCACAAAGTAATGCACAACAAACATGCACAAAGTAATGTATATATTGCATGCATGCACAAAGTAATGTATATATTGCATGCATGCACAAAGTAATGTATATATTGCATGCATGCACAAAGTAATGTATATATTGCATGCATGCACAAAGTAATGTATATATTGCATGCATGCACAAAGTAATGTATATATTGCATGCATGCACAAAGTAATGTATATATTGCAAACATAAATAGTAACACGACAAATTACTATTTAGCTAATAAGATTATGCAGGAAAATAAAATTTTGTTTTTTTTTTTTTTTTGGCAGATTAATTTTTTTTTCTTTTTTAACTGTTGTACATTTATAATTATCTGTTTGAACTGATTAATTTCTAGCATCAACAAAAAAGCAATGTTCAAAATGGTACAGAGCTATTAAAAAGTGATCAGCTATCAAAAGGTTTACCTCCAACTTCAATCTAATCATTGATAATTTCAAATATGCTTTTTCTTTTCCATTTTGTTTTCCTTTTTTTTCGAGTCAAACATTTGTACTTGTAAACAATATTTTTAAATAATATATTTAAACATTAATAGACAGATCAAATTTTGAATGAGATAATTAAAAGTTAAACAAATACAATGTCAAATATGTTTAATTTTAAAAAATTTTTTGTTAGCAAATTTTGTTTATCAGATAAATGCTGCATTTTTATAAGTTAGTAATAAAGTTTATTTAAAATTGGCATTTAATTAGCACTAATTGTTTATTGAAATTAAATACTCTAGTAGTAGCTTACATTGACCTGAAGAGTGACCTTTAAAGTACTATTAATTTCCTGAATAGAATTCATCTTTTACATTAAGCATTCATTAATTTGATTTATTCAATTCTAATCAATTAGCTTTTAATCTGAATTAGAAAATTCCTTGTTAACTGACCATATTTAATACAAAATTACAAATTAGTTCAAAATTTTTTGTCAAAAATAATTAATCAGTAATATAAGCAATTAACGTTGTTAATTATCAAATTGAATAAAAATACGAAAAAAAAAACGATATATTCGAGTCATAGCAATAAATATTTCTGGAAATAATAAATAAATTTTATATTACAATTTATTAGTTTAAAAAATATCATCCATTGCCTATTTGTTTGAATTTAAAATTAGATAAATAACAAGTTGAAATTATGAAAGAATTTTATCATTCATTCTTTATCAGTTAATTTATACAAATTTTATCATTTATCAGTTAATTTATACAAATATTATCAAAAACAAATAGTAGTTATGATTTTTCCTAAACAATTAAGTGTATCGAATTTAAGAAAATTATTGAAGATTAAGAAAAATTGAATTCTCTTGCAGGTATATCTCAAGATAATGAAGTGTCGTGTGAAGTTTCAGATGCTGATACTACAGATATCAAGGTTTTCTTAAGTTACATTTAATAAAAATGGGAAATATGGAACTGAATATTTTAATTCTACTTTATTATTAATTGTTATTATTATTATTTACATCATTGTTCTATTATTATCATTATTATTATTAATTATTATTATTGCTGTTATTATTATTGTTATTGTTGCTTTTATTTATTGTTATTTATCATTATTATTATTACTGCTAATATTATTGTAATCATTCAGTATCACTATTAATTATAAAATCAATATCATTATTAGTTATAAAATAGTATTTCAGAGAAATCTGTCTGCTGCGACACCAGAAATTAGTCCTTCAATAATTTCTACAGTTATTTCTGGGTCTTCTTTTTTTTTTCATTTTCAATTTTAAACTGATAATATATATATTAAATTTCTAAAATATATATTTTACAGATATTTTGAAGCATTTATGTAGCAATTTTTAGTATTATATAGTTTGAATATGCAAATATAACATAAGTATATGGAAATGTCTGAAAATTCAAACTTTTTTATTAATCTTTAATCTTTGATTTTTCTTTTTTAAAAACGAGAAAAAAAATTGATTATCAAAAAGCTTATCATAAAATTTATGTGTCTGTAAAGAGAATATTAAAGAAATGAAATGTTATGCAATAGGAAAATGATTTTTTCTTTTCATTTTTCATTTCATATTTAATTAATTAATTAATTAATTATTTAATATTGTAAAATAAATGTTACATATATGTTTGTCTATTTTTTTTTCTTTTTCAGCAAAACAACAGTGAATGAAATTAATGAAATTATGGAGGAAATTTTTTCAAGAATACAATGCATAACGCTTACACGTGAACGCTTAGATAGAATTAAAAATTATTTTGCAAAATCAAAAATGCTTGCATTATGTGAATCGGTTATTATCAATTTCTTCTACTTTCATTATTTAAATGTTTGATTTCAATATTGTGTCAAAAATTACATTTAAAGAAATTTAAATTAAATTTTTTTTTTTTAAATTTTTATTTCAATAAAATTTGAAGGATGCATTTGAATGGATAACTGATAATATGCAAACAATTTATAAAAATCCAATAAATGCATGCAAAAAATTACGCATTGCTATTGGTAGTCGAAGTATTTCAATTGATTTAGCTACAAAGGTTTTTCATTTTTGATATTTTTTTTTTATTTCCATTTCCAATTTATATATATATTTTACTTTTATAACTTATTTTATAAAATAAATAATGGTTGTTTTTTTTCTTTTTGAAAGAAAAACGATATCAAAATTAATTATTTCAATATTAAATTGAAATATTAACTGTTTGAGAGAATTTAGTAAAATACAACTTATTAAAACAATATAATAAATTAAAATATTTCTACCAAATTAAATAATTTAATAATATGTTTGCTGCAAATATGTAAAATAATAATAATAATAATAATAATAATAATAATAATAATAATAATAATAACTGATTCATTTCAATAAAATAAATATTCATGTAGTGATCTTAGAATTTAATTATAAAGAATTGTGCTAATTAAAAAGTTTTAAAAGAGATATATTTGAAGTAATAACTGAAACAGATTAAAATTTATTGATCACTAATTATTCAAATGTTATTTCTTTGTTTCTTTTTTCTTTTAAAGGCTCTTCAATTATTTGTGGAAAATCATTCAATCTGTATGACTGATATGATAAAATATTGCTCTTATGAGGGACGAAGTGAAATAACAATAAATGAATTATCACAAATATTAAAACGTTTAATTAAAATGAATATCAAAAATGTTTTATTTGATAATTCTGATCGTATTTCTACACTACTATTTCAAGAAAATCCATCTCATACATATCAACTTTAAATTTATTTATTTTCAATACTTTTTTAATTGTCTCATATCTATTTTATATGATATTATTTTCGAAATAAAAACAAATTTTGACATTTCACTTACAATTAATTATTTTCTTTTAAGATTGAAAATGAAAAATGTTAATCAAAGTAGGAAAATAAAATAAATATAAATTTCTATAATATTTTAGCCTTCTTTTTTTTTCATTTATACCTATCCACAATCAAATCCTAAATAAAAAATGAAATGTCATTCTGCAGAAGGAAAAGAAAAGAATAAAAAAAAAATTATTAATTTTAAAATTTTGTTATTATAAAAAATATTTGCAAATTTTATTAAGAAGTATAATTAATAATGTTATAATTCAAATATGACAGAGAAATTTGCATAGTTTATTTGTTAAAATTTTCTATTTTTTTTTTCAATTTCAAAATGATTATTAATTATTCATATATGAATCAATGCACAGTAATTCATTTTGATACAAATATTTATGTCAATTATTATATTTTAGCATTTCCAGTAAATTATAAATAATTTTTAAGTTTAGTATATTCTGCATGTGAATGAATGATTGATTTCATTTGTGTCATATGTTGTCGTTTTGAAAAAATAAAAATTAAAAAATCCATGTACAGAGTACAGCGCAGCTTATTTTATTATGGATCTTCTGGTAGTATTTCTTCCGATTTCTTGGCTGAAAAATTTAAAAATATCAAAGTATAAAAAAAAAATGAAAATATTTTTTTTTTGTTAATAAGAATGGAAAAAAGAAATTTGTAGTATTTGATTCAAATATATTTTAAAATTGAATCCATCATTTTGCTTAAAATTAATGACAATCTTAAGAGAGAAAATATCGTATTTTTCCTTTGTCCTTATTATCTCATATTTTCTCCTTTATTTTTTCCTAAATTTAGCTTTTTGTTCTTTTTATGTTTTTTTTTTTTTTTTTTTTTTTTGAAAAATTATAGCACTTTAAAAAAAATTTTTTTAATAAAATTAATATCAAATAGTTACTATATTACCTTCTTTCTTGTTTCCTTTAGAAGTTTTCTTCTTTTTGCTCTTTTTACTCTTTGATTTCTTTTTTTTCTTCTTCTTTTCACCTCTACAATGATTTTATTAAATGAATCGATTGACTTAAAAATGAATTATCGATTGATTTGTTTGAAATGGCAAATTAAAATGGTTAAAAAAAAGAGAGGGAGGGAGGGAGAGAGAGAGAAAACACGTGGTATGACTTACGTGACAAGTCCTTTTTCCGGTGTACTCTCAGTTGGGACGGTTGCAGTACGTGATACAGGTGTTGTTCTTCCTTCTTCCTGATTTGATGTCGATGAACGAATAACAGTTGCACCAGTACGTGTCTCACCTTCCGGTATTGCTGCTTTATCATCATCCGATGTTCCTGTTAATTGACTTCCGGTAGAACCAGAACTTCCAACAGATCCGGATGGCAGTGCTTCAGCTGGCACTTCCTAAATACATTCATATTATCTTTTTTTTTTCTTTATTTTACAAATTTATATGTTTGAAAATTAATCTAAAAATTAGTTTTATTATTTAATTTGTAAGTAAATTTAAATTAAAATAACAAATCAAACAAGAAAAATTAAGCATTTTCCTAGGATTTTGTTTCATTTTTTACAGTTTGAAAACTAACTGAAGTTGGACGAAGAAAAGGTTGCATCATACTATCAATAGCAACCTGAAAATGATATTTTCATTAGTTTATAATTTCAATTAATCTTCAGCAAATATTTTGCAAAATTTTTTCCTCTCTTTAAATTATTGCTTTGCTCGAATTTCTTCCAGAATAAATTTAAATTAAAATTTTCAATTTCAAAAATTTAAAAGTTCAAAAAAAAAAGAATCGAAAAATTTAACTATACCTTGAGAATATCTCGAGAATAACATTTTGTCATGCAATCATCTAACTATTGAATCTGACAAAGCAATCGATAATGTTTGTGTGATTTTAATAATTTCAAAAAAAAAAATCTTTTTTGCTTATTAAATAAAAATTAAAAAAAGATATATAATTTGAAACTAATTTTTTGTTCTGGTTGATATCGTGGTAAGGATGTTGGAGCAATTGGCGCAGTAGTACTGACCACTTGCACCTACAATTTACACTGATATTAGTTATTCATTTCTAATATTAAATTATTTTTAAAACAAAATTTTTGATATTTTACTTTTATTAACTTAAATTAAAAAGTTACTCATTAAAATAATTAATGCAACCAAATTACTCATTAAAATTAATTAAAATTAAATTATTCATCATTATAAAATGTTGTTGAATTTCTATTTTGTTTAAATTCATTTTAAATAAATTCAAATATTATAAATGATTAGACAAATTTTAATGCAATTAAATTGCTATATAAGATAAAATTAAAACAAGTTTTAATCTTTCAAAGAATTAAATAAATTTTTTAATTAAATTATAATATTATTAATTAAAAAAAGGAAACCTTTCGTTTTACAATTTGCCCAGAAGATGGTGTAACTTTTCCTTGCAATGCATCACATGCTAAAACAGACCAATTGTTTACAGCTTGTCTGCATGCTGGCTGTAAACAAAATTAAAATTTTTTAAAATAAAAAAATAAAAATTAAAAAAAAAAATAATATGATAAAAGATGAAATAAATATGTAAACAATTGACGAAGAAATAAGGTTAAAAAGCAAAATCATAAAAGAAATAAAATTTTAAAAAAGAAAATTAATACATAAAAAATTGAAATAAACATGTAGACAATTAATTAATTAATTAATTACTACAAATAATTCAGAAAGATACTTTGGTTGAGTAAAGATAAAAAGCGCCAATTGCTGCCATAGCAATGACAAATGTCACAAATGCCATTAAATTCTTTTGCAACCGTCCAATTACTAATGTATAAATGAAAACAATACAAGCATTTATCATTTTCATTTTCAATTTATTACAAACGAAAAATTTTTCAAAAAAAAAAAATTTGAATATTTTTCATTTTTAAAATTTTTTTTTAATTTGTTGTGAAAGAAAGAAAAGAAAAAGTAGAATAAAATAAGAACAATTTTATAATTAATTAAAAAAAAATTCTGTCTTTTAAAAATTTTTTCATTAAATAAAAGAAAATGAATGTTTATCTTTTCTTTTTTTTTTTTAAAAAAAAACGACGATAGTAAATTAATCTTTATTAATGATTATGATATCATTTATTATATAATGTTTATTTTAAAATTTTAAAAGCTGTGAAATTTTCAAAATTAAATGTTAATTAAATTTTCTTTTTTTTTTTTTTTGGAAATATTATTTTTTGTTAAGTTTCCAGTTTTTATTGAATCATTTAGTAGTGAGAATGTTATTGTAAAAACTAATAAAATGCAAATTTCATATTTTATATATATAAAAAAAAATAAAATACAAATACTATTAAAAAGTTATAATAACAATAACAAATAAAATTTATCACACGGCTCAATTAAATGACAATGTATTTGTGACAAAATCGAGAAATTAATTAATTAATATTTATAATGCATTCAAATTGAGATAATATTTGCGTGGAAAAAGAAAAAGAAAAGAAAAATATATTTTAAATGATATTAAAAAAAAAAAAAAAACGAAGAAAAATCGAATGAATGAGAGAAAAGTTATCAAAATTGAAAATGAAAAAAGAAAAAAAAATAATTATAACATCTTTTGAAATTACGATAAGTGAACTTGTTTAATTTTATAAATTACTTTTGAGAAATTGAAAAAGTTATTTATTAATTTTGCTCAAATGAATGAATCATTTTTCAGATTTTTCATACTTTCAAGAATGTATGATTGTTTTTTTGTTTTTTCTTGCAAAAAAAAAATGATTGTTTACACATTTTCAAGATATTTTTGCAAATAATTTTCATTTATTTCAAACAAATTATTAAATTTCCAAAAGTATTTTAAAATTGTGCAATTTCAAAGTATTAAATATATCTGATCCATTGCCACATAGCTATCATTCATTCTTGATTAGATTTTTTTTCTTAAATTTTACTTATAAATAAAATTATTTCGAAAATTTTTGAAAGAATTAAAATGGCAGGATTTTACGAGGAACACATAAAAAGTTAAAAATAAATGTAAAGATTTAATTTCTTAAAATTTGAAATTTTTGAAAAATAAAATAAAATAAAAAATTTGCTGGTCTTAAATATACGATAAGAAAAAAAAAAGTAATAAATCAATTATTTTATACTTCAATAAGGATTTTATTTTTATTACTATTATTATTTTTTTTTTAATGTTAATAGTTTCAGAATTTACAAAGAAACAGAAAAAAGCAAAAAAAAAAAAAATGTAAAATAAATATAAAATGAAACAATTGCATTATCTACCAATCAAATTTATCAAATCACAGATGCTAATGAAAATCTAATTAATTAATTAATTAATTAATTTATATTCAACTATAATTGTATGAATTATTAATGCATGCCTACGATAAAATAATTTGATAAATTATCACAATACAATTCCAATGACCTATCAAAGGCTTATCGAATAGTTTCAATGCCAATCATTAATTGCAAAGATTTTATCTCATCTGATAAGACTCTCACCTATCATATCATACCGTATCACATATGCATTCTTATCAAATTACAAATTACCGTATGAAAAAGTTAAGAAAAGTACCATTTGAAAAAAAATTATTTTTTTTGTTTTGCAAGAATCATTAATTTATGATTTTTGCATATTACTTATATTATAGGTATAGAAATAAATACAAATGAATAATTATAATTAATAAATTATTATAATTAATTAATCATTTATAAATAATCATTGATTCATAAATTTCCATGGATCAGTAGCTGCAGCATATGTTGCAGCACTTGTCGGATACTGAAAATATTCCATTGGTGTTGGAACTGTCGCTTGATAACCTCCATAGCCTACAACTACTGACACTGACGTGTAATCGAGTTTTTTTTTTTTTTAATATTTAAAATTAGCCAAAAAAAAAAGTTTTTATTTTAAACGAGCAAATTAAATTAATCTTTTTTTTTTTTAAGTACTTTAAAGACTAATTGCACATAGTACATCTACCAAATATTTAATTTTTAACAAAATTTTAGGTAAATAAATAAATTTTGAAAAAGTTACCATATCCTTGTGGAAATGTTGCTTGTGATGTATATGCTGTTGATGGTGATATGGTACCAAAATATGGTGGTGGTAAGACGGTTAATTTTGATGAATCAATTTCAAATGGTGATGTCCTTTGTTCTGATACACTTGTTTCACTTCTTTCTGTTTTTATCTAAAATTTTTCATTCTTCTTTACTTTTATTTTTTTTTCAAAAATAAAAGTTACTTCTTTTTTTAAATTATTATTTGATTGTTAACAATATTTCAAACTATCTAACCTCAGTACTGCAAGTACTAGCATTCCGGATATCAGATGAATTAGTTTTACTAGATGAGCTACCATCATTGCTGCATGCCGGAACGACATGCAATGCAACTTCATGTTTTGTTGCTTTCTTTTGTTGTCGAGCTTTAGCACGTCGATTTTTAAACCATACCTGATGTTTCTCTAATGAAATTTGTATAAAACTTTATAATTAATTAGTCATGTACAAAATTAATAATCCATATTATTAAATAAAATAATAATTATCCGAAAAAATATGCAAGGGAAGCAGATAATAAATAAAACTTAACAATTGAATAAAACTAAAATGTAGAAAGAAAAAAAAAATAATAGTAATTCAAGTTTTAAAATTAAGTTTGAACATACTTGAACGCGTGATTCTGGTAATTGAATTTTCAATGAAATTTCCTCACGAATAAATATATCTGGATAACGAGTTTTGGAAAAGTAATTCTCCAAAACTTCCAATTGTATTCGTGAAAATGTTGTTCGTTCACGGCGTTGTTTTCTGAAGTTTGAACTGAAGTAAAGTGCAATGTAGGCGAATCCTCAATTATTCTCAATCACCGGTTACAACCGGTATTATTATTATTATTACTATTATTATTATTATTATTATTATTATTACAAGACTTATCCAAATAATCTGTTCTTAATCACAATAAAAAAAAATCAGTGAAATTATGTTGAAACTCAATGTGATTGATTAAAATTGAAATCCTTTAATTGTCAATTTTCGGTTGATAATTAAGACTTTTTCATAATTATTAATTCGTTTTCACTTTTGCCACTCTTTAAATGAGAATGAATACTTTCAGGAAAAGCGATGACTTATAAAGATGGAATTTTAGAAGATTGATTTTAATTCCTTAATGAAAATGGAGATTTCAAGGAATGAGATTGATTCCAGTGTCAAATTTCGGGTAGAAAATTATAAATGAAGAAGGATATCCGTTATTAATAAATTGAGATTAATGAGAAATACTTCAATATGAATGATATTTCAAAATAATATGTGAAATTTAAATTCAAATCATCTTCAATGATATACTTCCGTTTCCATCAATCATAAAGATTTAATTTATTATTAAGGAAATAATTATGATAAAACCAGTTTTCCTAATTTTAGTATTAATTATGTACGGTAATTCATGTCCAACAACAACAACAACAACTGCCGTACGGTATTTGTTTATCGTAGCCATGAAAATTTGTTTACAAGTTGCTACAGTATTGATAAACTGCAATCTTAGTAGGTTTTCCGGATGAAGTGTTGGTATCTTGTAATATATCAATTGAAATCGGCAATGATTTAATTATAAAAATAAATTAAGTAAGTGGATAAAAGTATTGAAGTTAGATTTTGTATAATTAACAAAAAATTTTCTAGAAGGAAAGAAATAAAAGTAAAATTAACCTTGCTGCTTGGCTAGCATTCCAGGCTGTTAATCCAGCCGTTTGGCAATCTGCTAGTGAATTTCCAATATAACCCATTCCGCCCGGCAAAAAATTGTGCGCTGGTGTTGCGGTAAAACCAAGTGCAGCACTTGACATATGCGGCGCAGTTGCATAAGCACCATTTTTGAAGTATGCCGCCATATTTGCCGCAGAACTCATATTTGCCGCTGCGGCAGCGCTTGTTACGCTCACCGTAGGAATATACGACATTTGCTAGAATCAAAATTATTTATTAATGATAAATTTTGAAATTTAATTTCAATGAAAACGCTCTAAGATTACATAAAAGAGAGAAAATTCAAATATTGCTTTATTATCAACAACGAACAAAGTTTCACTAAAAGAAACAGGAATCTGAAGTTTAAGTTTATACAAACCTGACAATTGCGCCCACTTTATACAAGCCATTAATTAATATCTTCATTTTCCTTGTAAGTTTTATTTAAAAACTTTTTAAATTTAACTTCACTATGCTTTTAAAGCAAAGAAATGCAAAAAATATTATTTATTTATACATTACAAAGTGTATAGGTATTATTTTGAAAGAATTGAACACTTTTTTTTTTTAATTTCATTATTTTATTGTTTATTGTTAAGAGAACAATGAGTTTATTTTGAATATTTTGAAGATGCTAAAAAGTTCAAATAATTGAATAATTTTGTCTCCTCGTTTTCGTTTTAAATAAAATTGTTCCTCACTAAAAGAAATATGATATAAAATAATAATAATAACAATAATAATGATAATAATAAAAAATAGTTTGAAGCACTGTAAGCACAAAGAAGCTACAAAAGAAGTAAATATTATGTCAATATTTATTTCTTATGATTATTGTGATATGTATTTATTGACAAGTTTTAAGATTGATATCTAATTAATTCTTATTAATTAGGCTGCAACTATTCTAAATGATAATTTAAAAAAGTTTGCAAATTAAAATTAATGAAGAATAGATATGTAAAGTGATAACTGTTAAGAATAATGTCATTTAGCATTTTCTTGAATATGTAAATATAAAAGAAAATTACTGTGTGAAAATTTGATCAAATTGATTTCAGCAACTTATAAAATAGGATTACTGTATATCGAAATTTTAGATTTGACAAGTGACATTGTGCATGATATATTATCATTGCTATAATTGTTAAATAGCTTATGCTTAAAATTTCTTCGAGAAAAAAAAATAAACAAACAAATAAATAATAATCTATTTAGTCAGTTAAAATAACGAATAAATATAAAATTTGGCATTATTTGAACCATGAATAATTACTTATCTGAATTTATTAAAATATTTCACATAGTTTATCAAACAGTTTAATAATATACGTCAATTTGATCAGATAATTTAATAATTTTAAGAACGCCGATGATGCCTCATAATTTCTATTTTACTTTTTTCATATTGTGCTAATGTTTGAAATTATCTGCGCTTGCTAGGATAATTTATTTCCATTATTATACTTTCAGCAGAACAGATAAACTTAATATTGAGGATACCGTAATCCTGAATGTTTATCGTAACCTTAAACGCATATCGCAACTTTAAATGCGTTTTTTTTTAACGAATAAAAAGTAATAATTAATAGTTTGTCCCATAGAATCACTGAAGATGAAAAAGAAAAAAAAATAAAAAGGAAAAATGAAAATTTTACAGTAATCTTTTTCCTTCAATATATATTTTAATTATTTCTTCTTCACTAAAGTGAGATGTGATATATTCATTAGATATCGTACAACAGCATTCTCTGAGCGATGCAATTCCATTTAATATTACAAACAAATTCAGAAATAATTTTTAATCAGTATGATGAAATAAACTTTCAAACAAATTTCTTAAAGAAAGAAAGAAATTTAAGTAATAAATGTTAATTAAAAAAAAAAAAAAGGAAAGCAAATAAAAGAATTTAAATGACTTTTTATTTTCTTTTATATTTCCATTATAAATGCAAAAATTGGAAGCATTTATTTGAATGAACTTTTCCCATTACTAATCTAAGTATTATCTGTCATTAAAATATTTGAATGAGCCGAAAATCTAACTTTAACTCATTTAAAGAAGATTTTCTCTCTCACTTTATTATTATTATTATTGTCAGAGATATATGAATGGGTGGTGTATAAGAAGTTTAAAAAACGCTTAAATGAGCTTATATGAAAGAAATACCATTTTGGTATTAATAGAAAAAGAACCAACAAAAGTAATCTTTGTTCATTAAAAAAAAAGAAGGAAGGGAAAAGAATAAATAATATAAGGTAAAACAGGGTAGGGTAGGATAGGGTAGGGTAAAGTAAGATAGGGTAGAGTAAAAAGTTAGTGAAGAAATTACTTATATACATAACATATTAAAATGAATGAAAAGAGAATAAATGTCAACATTACCTGCAAAGTGTTAAATTTAAAGAGTTTATGTCTAATAAATATACAAAAATTTACAAATTCCATAATTGGATTAAAACAATTCGTTATGTTTGTCAATTGATAACAATGTTAGGTTACAACAGGTTAACCTTTTGCTGGCTTTTCTCTTTCTCGAAACAATCCGCTCATACTTGAAAGTTAATACCACTCTGATTGTAGTAATCAGGATGATCTATACGATTTAAACCGCCTAACTAACTCGCTGACACTTCTAAGCTGACAATTTAACCGGGCTCAGCTGCTATTTTATCAAACAATTCTTTAATGTCCTCCTTCTACTTCCTTCTTCTTCTTTCTTCCTCTAATCTTTTCATTCTACCTTCTTAAAGGAATATTTGAAGTATTTATTCTATATAACTTTTTCAATATTATTTGACAATTAAAGTTAGATTTTAAAATATTAAAAAAAAAAAAAAACGAAGAAAAGCAAGCAAAACAATCATTTAAAAATGAATTTGAAAAAAAGAAAAGAACCGATGAAGTTTTATATGATTACGGTATGTCAGCAAATAGATATTATAAAAGGAAAAGATGAGCTGATGACAAAAAAAAAAAAAGGATGGGACAATTTGATGGAAGCAATCAGTGAGGGAAACATTCAGCCAGTTGACAGATAGATTGATGCGATGACTGTTTTGCAAATATCATTCATTTTCAATCACCAATTGCTATATAGAATAATGAATTTTCAATTCTCAAATGCGAATCTCATCACATATACATTCACAAATATTACACACCGACATATACACCCACGCACATACACTCACATACACACACACACACAACACTACTGCAAACGATGTGTGTGTGTGTGTGTGTGTCGGTGCAATTTACCTTGTACACTACTACCTCCTTGTCATCCTCCTCCCACCTTTACGATGTGACAACCAATGGCGTGGCGTGTAGTTTAATGCATGAAGTGTCAACCCTATTCAGAATTCAGAATTCTGTACCATATAATAATATTCAATTGATATTTACAATATATATATAAATGTATGTGTATGTGTGTATGTTTGTGTGTTGTAAACAAATTTGATAAAATGAATATATATGATACTATCAACAATTTTTATATAAATATTTTTGATGAATTAAAGAAGAAAAAGAAAAGAAAAATTTTTGAAATAAAAATGTTAAAAAATAAATTTGTTAAAATTAAAAAAAAAATTAAAATTCATTCTAATAATGAATTATTATATTTCATTTCTTTCACACTCTCTTTTTTCATTTTTGGAAATATTTTAATGAAAAAAATGCAAAATTTTTATGATTTTTGCTCTTTTGACTTCTGTTTCGTTTTTCCTCTCTCTCTTTCCCTCTCTCTCTCTCTCTCTCCCTCCTTTCCTTTTTTGTTTTCTTTTGCTTAATCTCGATATGAAATTACTTATGCATTTCTATCATATTACAAAAAATTTTTTCTTTTTATCATCAATCATTTAAATTACTACTCTAATTTCATTTTTTATTTTTTGATCTTTTAAATAATCTATTATAATTATTGTCAAAACTATATATTTTCAATAAATTCATTTTTAAAATTGAACATTTTCAATAAACTTATTTTCAGAATTAAGTATTTTCAATAAGTTCATTTTCAAAATTAAATATTTTCTATAAGTTTATTATTAAAATTAAGTATTTTCAATAAGTTTATTTTTAGAATTAAATATTTTCAATAAGTTTGTTTTTAAAATTAAGCATTTCCAAATAAGTCTTTTTTTTTTGTTTATTCTTGACAGAAATAAACAAATTTGAGAGTAGGATTTACAAACAAACAAACAAAAAAAAGTGATGAGCGTTAAATTATTTTGTATGTTTTATATGTACCTATTGTTATGATTACTTAGATGAACTTTAGCATCATAATATCGGTAAACATCAAAAACATATATTGTGGTAAACAAGTGGACAGATTTATTTTCATTCTTCTTTTGATTAATACTTCATTGACATATCTACCATAAATCTAAAAAGATGACAAATATTGTGAAGTGTGACAACAATAGTTAATGAATGGGAGAAAAAAAAAAAGCCGCAGGGAAATGTAAAGTTATGAAAAGATAAAAGCAGGGGAAGAGAAAAAAAGAAGAGAGAATAATGAAGTGGATTTAATATTAATCAAATTGATAAGCGATAAACATATATTTCTGGGCATACACATAAACATATATATTTTCTGTTCATTAATAAATATATATTTGTTAAAAATGATAACTATGATAATTTATTCATTCATCCGGTTTCTTTACCGGAAAATAATATTTTTGCAATAATAATTTATTTTAATCTGATATTCTCTCTCTCTCTTTCTTCTCTTCTTATTGCTCTTTCTTTTTTACAATGCATTTTTGTTTTTCTTTCTTTTCATCTCTCCCTCTCCCTCTCTCTTTAACCTTTTTTTCTTTGATTGCAAATGAACACTACAAAATTAAATTAATTAAAAAAAGAAAAGTTTTAAAAATTTTTATATTAGTGAAAAATTATTAAACTTTAACCAATTTTCGATAATTTGATAAATGTAAACTTTATATTATTCATTAAATTATATTTTGTTATTAATATCTCTTATTAAATAATTGAAAATTTTAACTTTTGTGGATAAAAATATGATATTGTTTATAATTTTAATATTTTTATTTTGTTATTATTTGATAGTTTGTCAAGAAACAGAAAACTGTTATAAACAAGTAAACAGTGTAAATCAAAAAGAAATAAATAATATTTGAGATAAAAAATTTCCATTTTCCCGATTAATTAAACAATTAAGCAATTCAATTTCAA